ATCTTTCTGTGCTTGGGGAGGAAGGGAGGCCAGACTGGCCTTGCTTCTGTCATGGACAAGAAAAGGCAGGACCACATCTTCTCAGAGGAAGGCAAAATGTCAACCTCTCCCTGCCCTGCAAGTGCCTTGTGTCAACCTGGGTCCCTCCTCTGGGTGCCTCTCCCCAAGCAGAGATCTCCCATCCTTGGTTCTTGACTATTAAAAGCCTTCACCTTCTGTCATGTTTTGTTACAGCAAGTGGCCAAGAAAATGAATCTGGATATGAGGAAAACCTCCTCGCTGTGGAAGGATCAGGCCCTGGTGGAAATCAACATTGCTGTGCTGTACAGCTTCCAGGTACCCAAGTACCAGGGTTTGTTTGGGTCAGGCTTGAGGGACATGGGGATTGAATGGGATGAGTATGGAGACATCTATGCAAGAACATCGGCAGCAGCCGATATACTCACTGGGCTGTGCCTCCCTAATTTGGGCTGTTCCAGGTGCCTGCAATGAAATTTAATAATCTCTGTGCCCTGCATATTGTAAAGACCAGCACCTGAGTTCTGCTGGCACAGCGAGAATATCCCAAGAGGGCAATATCCAGCCCTTCTGTGCTGTCCATGAGGCAAAAATTGGCCCAGGTTCTCCTGCCTGCACTTAAAGCTTGAGTAGCAAAACTAGGCCTTGGCAACTCAACTTCAAAGGGTAGGAGTCCTTCTCAGAATTGGATCAGAGCTGCCCTGTGATTCCTGCAGCCATGAAAGAGCTCCCCACGGGCCTGAGCAGAGGCCCTATTCATGCAATCTTAGTCTTTGCTTGGCTCACAACAAGTAATAGGAGAAACAGCAGTCCCATGGCACATCTATGCAGGAAGGAGAAGGGCAGCTTTACAGCCTCCTTGGGAAGACCAGGGTCAGCAGCCACCCTGGGCCATCTCCAAAGGTCCTGTAAGACCACTGGAGTGAGACATATTTGGGACAGACAGTTCCAAATGTAAAACCTTGGCTTTTGCCTTCTGGGTTGTATTAACATCTGTTGACTCTGCCCTCTTCTCCCCCAACAGAGTGACAAAGTGACCATTGTGGATCACCACTCGGCTACTGAGTCCTTTATCAAGCACATGGAGAATGAGTATCGATGTCGTGGAGGTTGTCCTGCTGACTGGGTGTGGATTGTCCCACCAATGTCTGGCAGCATCACCCCAGTTTTCCATCAGGAAATGCTCAACTACCGTCTCACACCCTCCTTTGAGTACCAGGTACCATCCTCACCTTTACCTTCCACCACTGCCCAAAGATGTAGCTGAGAGCAGGGTGGGAGCTGGAGCTCAGAAGATGAAGGAAGGAGTGGGGCACCATCTAATCCCTTCAACAATCTGTGCTGCAGGTCATGGAAGTCCATGATAAGTCTAATTGATGATCCTCCCTGACATAGTGTAATAACTCCCTAGATGTTACACCTTTTCTCAGGGAAATGCTCTTTCCCCCTCCATGAGCACATGGGACGCATGAGGTTCCAACCTTTTGATCACGCTTGGATCAAGCAGACCTTCTCCCTTTGGAAGTGCCTAATTTTGCACTTTGATGAGTAGGTGAGGAAATGACCTGGAAAATGACTGTATCCCTCCTCTCTCCAGGCTGCAGGTTTGAGTGGATGGCTCTTGCCAGCTTGGGGATCCAACAGTGTGACAGGGGGGCTCCTGCCCAGCAGGACCAGCAGCAGACTGAAATGCTGGTGCTAGAGTATTTAACACTTCAGATCATGGGAAGAAAAAAAAAGCCCCTAAGCAAACACTCCTTCATTATCCAACCATCCCTGCTCTGGTGGTTTCCACACAATGTGACCTTTAGTCAAGAGCCCTTAAGGAACAATCACAAACCAGGAGCAGTCTGTTCATTTCTATAACCAACCTACCAGGAACCCCGATGGTTCCTGGCCCTGATTACAGCCAGCCGCCTGCAAGGGCATGGAATTAGCTTCTGTGTGCTTGTTCCTGGCTTCAGCTGCCTCCCCTTCCCAAAGGGCCTCTTAGGGAAAATGTACAGTGTACTGGGAAAGGGGAAGGATCTCTTTCCATTGCCTCTCCCCTTCTGGCATTGCCTGCCTCGTTTTTGCCTTGGCCTATTAATGCTCCTCTCAAGAGGTGAAAAAGCGTTTGGCCAGATGCTGTTACAAGCCAGCCAGGTTTAATATAACGCCTTTTTTTTTTTTTCTGTGCATACTGCATTGCCCAACTGCCCCAAAAAACCCCATGGAGCTCCAAGGATCAGGGGCATATAGAGGAGAGGGAGAGCTGTGAAGAGGCCAGCTACTCCTGCCCTTCATGAGTAGAGGAATTCAATGCTCAGTGCTGTGGATGCAGCATTTCTCAAAGCTCTGAGCACTGCCCATCAGCTGCTGCTGCTCTTCTCTCTCCTAGCCGGACCCCTGGAACACCCACGTCTGGAAAGGGGTCAATGGGACACCTACCAAGAAGAGGGCCATTGGCTTTAAGAAGTTAGCAAAGTAAGTACCAGTGGTCTCTAGCAAGCCCAGAGTGTTTGGGGCTGGTCCTGATTGGTGGTGCAAACCTATGGGTGTGTGCAAAACTGATGGGCTGTGAGTCTGGACCTTAGGCCACTGGAGGCTCTACCTGCCAAGAGGGGCATCTGGAGAAACAGGCTGTGCCTTGAACACCCTATTAGACCACCACAAGTTTTGTGACCAGGTGAATACCAGATGTTGTATGTACTCTGTTCTCCCAAGCGGTTCATTCTCCAGTAAGGTGTCTTTGATGCTCAGGAATGGCTTTATCACTTCTTGGGCACATATTGCCTCTTTCTCCTTTCATCCTCCTTGGGGCAGGGAGATCACCCCTCAGTGTTCAGGACCATGCTGGCACAAGCAGAAATCAAACTTGTGTCAATATTTCTCTTTTTCTCAGTGATTCTTTGAGTACTGGAGTAGCACCTGTCTCCAGTGCATGTCTAACTGTCCAAACATCTGCTTTGCGAGATGGGAGCAAATAGGAATGAGGAATCTCCCTCCACATAGCAGATGGATCAGAGCTGAGCTGAGATTTGCACTTCATGGTCAGTTGACCCCTAGTAATGGGCCACAAAGTCCCTCTCCCCTGCCAAAGCTCCCAGTCAGCAGTGGTGTAGGAATGAATTGCAATTTGGACCCTTTGGCTGATCCTGGCCCAAATATCTCTCCCATGGGCTATTGGCAGAGAGGGACTTGTATGAGCTGCTGGCTCTGTGGCAGCAGAGCCCTGGTCCAAGGCTGGAGAGGGTTGGGTCTGCCCCAGTGTGGGTGGCCAGGCTGCCAGGTGGCCTTGTGCTCTTCACAGCATCTCCCCACACTTCAGTTTCCCCAAATACTTACTATCAGTTTGTTCCCACTCTTCAACTGTCACCTCCAGTAAGCTATTTTCTGTGGTGTAAACATGATCAGTAGCTGATGAATGTGCTCCTTCAGCTGACACTGGGGCCTGGGTCTGGGCTGCAGCCGGGGCTGGGGACAGCACAGGAAGATTAATTGAGCCATTGAATGAAGAAAAACAATGCTTTTATTGGTGTGTGCCTGATTGATGAATGATTTTATAAAAATGTGAGCATGGCAGGTAATTAAAAAAAATCTCCATTGTTTGTGATGTAGGGGAAGGGAATTATTTTTGTAATTCACCATTAATTCTGCCTGAATCTGAGCTCATCAGTGGTGAACTGAGCCCAGCAACCCTGAGCACTGTACTTGGCAGGGGTTGCAGTATGATTTTGTGCCTGCTCAGACAGGCTGTGCTGGTTCCAGCCAAATCTGAGCTTTCAAACCTGCAGTCCCTGCCCATTCTGCACCTTCCCTCCCCTGGGGACAGGGGACACTACCCCCATGGGAAAGAAAAGAGGCTACTTTAATATGCAGAACTATGCTGAGGAGTGATTATATAGGAGCAAATATAAGTGCCCCAGAGGCTGAATTTGACATGGAGGAGATCTGCCTGTGGGAGGCAGGATGAAACAGCCTGGTGGGGCATGTAACTCTTCTTTCCTCCCTTTTTTCCCCCCAAGTGATTTTCCAAACCCAGAGCACTTCTTCCCTCCTTTGCAAGAGGGGCAGGGGGAAGCTGGACTTCTCCCGCTAGTATAACCAGTGCACCTGCAGCCT